TATATATATCATAATATATTTTTTTTCTTAAATTTCATGTCGATATAAACTTCAAATAAATTCAAACAACCTTTAAAAAAAGGTGTACATAGATAGTAGATAAATAATTGAAGTCTTTTTTTTTGTTTGTCAAATAATTGAAGTACTAATGGAAATAAACGCAAAAAATAATTGATCATCTGATTAAGTTGGTGTTTCTCTATTTATAATATTGAGCGATAGCTAATAGTCATTTTATGTAGAGGCGAATCTAAAGTTTAAAATTTACGAATTTAATCTTTGAATTATTATAACTTTATATTTATGAATTCATATCTATTATTTGTTGCATTTTTAGTAAATCCATTCTAATAAATTTTATATTTCATATCGTAAAAAGTATTAGGTTAAAATGAACTCGATTTATTTGCGTATGAAATATTCAAATGTTTAAAAGATATATTAGAAATTTATGGTTAAAAATAGATTTATTTAAATTTTAAATTTGAAAGATATCAGGTAAATTGAGACAGAGAAAGTATATATTTACACACTGGCATCCACATAATTATTTTCATTTGTTCAAAATAAGTCAGAGTCATATAATTGTACCTAAGTGCTAATTAAACTCACATGAGATGACTCTCCAATATTAGCTCAATTTTGTCTAACTTGTCAAAATATAAAATCAGCACCTAGTTATGTTCATCCGTAAATTAAATAAATTACTTTATATATTCTCAATGCGCCCGTTCACATGCAGATCTGACGTTGAGGACCTAATTTTTTTGCATGAATTTATTTAATTATATTCTCAACACGCCTCCTCGCATGCAAGCCTAAATCTTTTTCAGTGATCCAATACATGAAAATTCTTTTTAATATGAGTGACATTGAGATTTTATCTCAAGACCTCTGTCCGCTCTGATACCATATTGAAGCGCGTAATCATCTCATGTAAAAACTAAAGCTGTTAAAGAAAAAACACTTTTATTATTTAATTGTATTCTCAACCGTGCTAAATTCATTGCCTAGAAAATTAAAGTATATACCACTAAGGGGATAAAAAAAAGTTGTGAAATTTGAGGTCAGTATGTCACCTTCATAAAGTTGGGAAGGTAATGTGTTAAATTCTAAAGAATAATGGGGTAAATTATTAGTATTATATTGTTTTTGGAAAATGGAATGTTTGTATCACAATCAATATGCCATTTTAGATGAAACATTTTGTAATTATTAGCGTTACGCAACTGGTTTAAGTTAAAAGACAGATTAAACAACTTGAACTAAAAAACACCTATAATTAGCATTTCAATTCCAATTAAACTTGAATTACGCATCAACCTGACGGTCATATTCATCACGCTTCTATGAACTATTACGATCGGTTGGTCAGCAGGATAAGATTATTATCTCGAAATAAACTATGAGATAATTTCATTACATATTTGATATAGTTTTTAATTTCGAAATTAACCATTATATGGAATTAATATACCATCAGATGACTTATTTTTCCACTATCTAGAAAGGTAACATAAACACTAGTAGCTAGTGCGCACCTAAATGGAGCTACATTGTCATTTTAAAATATATATATATAAAAGTATTTGATTAAAACGTTTTATAAGATCATCTATAGTTAAGAGTGTCAAATGCGCGAGTTAAGCTAAAATTGGATAGATCAAAATAAATTGAGGTGATAATTTATAGTGTGTTAATGACAAGATTACTTGAATTGAGATGAGCTGAGTTAAAAAGAAGAGAAAATTTCATAAATAGTAAAGAAATTAAACTTAATTACACTTTATCGCTACAATTTGCATAATTACGCTTTATAACTATAGTTACGTTTTCTATGAGTATTTTTGTTTGTATATTTCTCTTGTCAATATACGTACAAACAGGGTATGTAAGTATATATACAAATTTTGTATTTATACATTTATAATTTTTCAAAATTCCATTTGTATATTTCGCTTGCCATAAGATTTTTTCAGTACGAAATACAAACAAGACAATTTATTATGAATTTTTCATAATGTATACAAATCAAATGTATCAACAAATCGTATATAAATAGTTAGGGTAAGCATATACAAAATTTGAATTTATACAATTAAAAACCGAATTATACAAATTATTGATTTATATAGTTAGGGACTTAATAGCAAAATTTAAGAAACTATAGCGACAAATCATAAATATCAAATCGAAACTATAACTATGAAGCGTAATATACTATAAATATTTGTCATTTTGCGTATTTTTTTCTAAAATAAAAGGGAACTACATAATAAGGGTTATAACTCTATATATCTATCCTTTTGGGAAAGTCATCCCACTTTTGAGCCGGAAAGTCATCCCACTAATCTGAATTCAAGTTGGAAAGTCAGCCCACTTTAGAGGTAAATCGTTTCATACCCAAAGATGATTACATTCATAGAGCTCAAACCTGAAATCACTTGCTAACGATAAAAAATACTTATCATTTCATTATAATTTTTTGTGGTCGTTTTTCAAATTTATTAGAAAATATACAAGATAAGTTACAAGAGAGAAATATATACATAAAAGCCCACTAGTTATTGGGCTTTCATGACCAAGTATGGAAGCATCATCATAATTGTTACGTACATCATAAGATATTGAGAAAATGACGGGACACAATTTATATTAACACCAAAATTAAATGAGAGGGATCAGAATTCAAAACTTAATCAAGTTATTAAATGTATTTGTTATATCACCAAATTTTTTGATAAAGTGATAAGTATTCCTTCATTTTTAATCACATATTTCAAGTTCGAGACCTGGATATGGAGTCGCCTTTAATAGAGAGCCTTTATCCTCAAAGTGGGATTTCTAGACGCAAATTTAGAATAGCGGACCCCAAATTTTGTTATAAGATTATTTAACCTTGATTAACTATCAATTATACAGAAGAATAAAGTTATAATACAAGAAAATAAAACATTTCTGAATAAAAGCATAATCCAATTAATCCATCATAAATTTATTTTTACATAGCAACTTATGAAGTAAGGAAGCAAACTGTATCGATATCAATTATTTTGTAGATCGTTCTGCAACACGTTTTGATGAACAATATAAGGATCATCAATTAATTTTGTTTTAAGTTTAAGAAAATGTTTAGGTGAGTATAGCCTAAATAATTGAAAAGCAGAAATTGATGAAATTAGAAATAATATAACAACAGCAAGATAGCCCAATATTAAAGCAGCTCCCATTTGGATACAAAATCTAGTGAATCTATTGCATATTTTCATCCATTGTAAACTTTTTATTCCAATTAATGCAATTACTGATGCTTCAATTGCTGCTGAATTTGCTGCAAATACAATGTACACAACTGCCTGCAAAAAAATAATAATAATATAATTTTGTCATATGAGTCACGACTACGATGATTTATCAGGTTGTCTATAGGACTCACTCTGTCTCAATTTATGTGATACATGCATTTCGTTTTTCGAGAGTCAAACGATTTAAGTTTTTATAGTACTTTTCGCATAGTTTTTGAATATCTAAATTTTTTATTTAAAATATTGAATAAATATAATCTAATTTAGCTTTGAAAATTAGTCAAATTGAGTTTCAAAAAACGCAATATGACAATCAAAAGTGGACGGGGAGAGAGTAATACGTTAGGTTAATTACCACATTCAATAGCATTAATTAATATCTCAACTACAATTCATCTTTTCAGTTAGTATATTAAAGCAACAATGTGTAGTATGCATAGTGAAGGTAAGAGTGACGAGTAATCCTCCGTCTTTAATCAGAGGTCTCTTATGTATGAAGTTGTTTTTGGTTGGGGGACTTTAATTTACCTCAAAAGTATGACTTCTCTCAATGCGAATCTAGACGTTAGTGTACTTCACCCAAAGTCGGACCCCAAAAGTGGATACCAAACACCAGGGTGAAAAACACAAAAAAGAATGATAAAGGTATGAATATAAATTTCTCACCTTATGTTGTGATCAACAATATGTACAATATAGTAAGATAAAGGAAAAATCATAGAAAAAATAGACAATTAAAAATTAAAGGGAGAGAGTTAATTAATTACCTGGTCTAATAAGAAAAAGAACCAATAATTCTTGTGAGAAAATTGTTTAATATCCCCCTTTGAAGTAGTAATGAAAAAACTTCTCAGCAGTTGGAGTACATTATAACTGGCAGCAGCAGCATCAATCCATACCAAAACACTAATATGCCAAATAAATAAAACAAACAATTAGATTTAAGAAGAAAAAAAATTATGCAATAATATGCCTCTAAATATAAATTACAACAACATATTCAGTGTACATAGTACCGCAGATGAGATCTGAAGAAGGTGAAATGTGTGTAGTGCCCTTAATCCCGTCTTATGAAGGTAGAGAGACTGTTTTTTTTTCATGGTTTGACTAAACAATTGACTTTCATATTACATATTGATATACATTTTGATGCATAGCATGTTGAGATTATAATATAACAATGAGATATGTTACAAAGAGCCCTTTTGAACAAAGAAACAAGAAAAAATAAACTGAGAACGTACTTAGATGCAGATCCAAAATTTAAATTTTATAGAATTACACAAGTTCAAGTTCTACCATAATAGAATGAATTCGAAATCTACTTTGTTTACTTAATATTATCATAAGATAAGATGGTTCCAACCCTCAAGTCAGACAATATAGCTAACAACATCCAATAAAACAACAATTTGTTCCAATTAATTTCAAACATCAAATAATTGTGTATATAAAAGAATATATTAATTAGTAATAGAATAACTCACCTCAAGGCATCCAAATATTTGTAGTTGGCTTTTATATGGACAGTTAAGAAAACAACTTTAGTTTGAGAATCAAATCCAACAAGACAAGCAGTCAAAACCAACAACAAAGTTGCTAAAAGCCTCAACAAAAACTCTATTCTCACAATATCCATATGATCTTTTTGTTTTTTTTATTTAATCAAATTAATGTAGATCTAGTTAGGCATCATACATTTATATATAATAATCTTTAGAAATCATTAATGTTTCAATTAATTATGTTAGTTGTAGCTAGGTGGGGATGATAAAGTTCTGGTTTGTAAATGGTACACGTGATCAAGAGGGTATCTAATGTGACAAGTAGGCCATTTAAAATTAAATGGTCCATGCACATTCCTAAATGACACACTTACAATATTTTTCATCGTGTTCGGATCAATTTATATGCATCTCGATTATTTTATTTAAACATTTATTATCTTCCATTGTTATATATGTATCAAATAGTACGTAAATTTATCTATCAAAATTGCTGGTAAAGTTGTTGCCATGTGATTAGAAGGTCACGAGTTCAGGCCTTGTAAACAACCTCTGATAGAAATATAAGGTAAGACGTCATATAATAGACCCTTGTAGTCGGGCCCTTCTCCTAACCGTGCACATAACAAGAGCTTTTAGTGCACCGGGCTGTCCGTTTAAGCTTAATCATGTACAAAATCACCGAACTATCTTTTTAGTGCAAAATATATATCAAATAGTATGTAAATTTATTTACAAAAGCTGCTGGTAAAATTATTGTCATGTGATTAAGAGATCACTGACTCAAGCCTTGGAAAAAATCTTTGACAGAAATGCAAGGTAATATGTTGCATATAGTAGACCCTTATAGTTGGGTCCTTTCCCGAACCCTATGCATAGCAGAAGTTTTAGTGCCTTTTAGTCGGGCCCTCCCCGAACCCTGCACATAGCGAAAGCTTTAGTGAGTGAACCTGTCCTTTTAAGCTTATTTATATTCTCCAAAAATTAAACTCATTTCATTAATCATTTGAGCTACACACTTTAATGCTACTCTCTCTCTATATGACATTTATGGACCCAAAATTAAAGTAATTTGAAGTGATTGGAAAATGAAGTAAAATTATTGCCTTTTTTCTCATACTTGGTCCAAAATTATTCCCTTTTGTTGACTCAACAAGAAGCAAAAGAATGGAAAATTGGAATTTGGACTTGCCCAATTGTTTGGACCAGCCTATATATATCTCAATGCAAATAATGTGATTTGATGAAACTACCAAGATATTGCACATGGTAGGGTGGCTGAAATTTAACATACCAATTAACACCTCTAGTACTTAATTACACCCTTTTGTAGCTTAATTTAGAGTGTTAAATTTCCCATCTAATCTATGTAAATGCTATGCCTACATTGCTTGAGTTTTTACGAAATGATATCGTATCGTGTCAAATCTTTTAAAAATGTAATATCGAGAGTATTAGCAACCTAACGTAAATGATGTAAGTTATCCAAGATTCCTTGTTCATTATTATTTGAAATAAGTAACTTGTACAATTTCAAAGCAATAAATTAAAGGAAAACTATCTTATTAGACATATATTTATATCATATATACTAATTCTACCTATATTTTCAAATAATTATATATTCTACCATTAATTAAGAGTTTCCTTCCATATAACGAGAAATATACACTTAAATACATGTATATTTGCTACTAGATATACTGAAATAGGGAGAGAGGCGAGCGAGAGGGGGAGATAATCATATATGTCATATACATACGAATCACACTACAGACACATAGGATACACACTAAATATATGTATTTGTATATATTTGGTGGAATTAGCTTGTATCTGGGATACCAAATACATAGGAGAGTGACGAATGAGTTATGAGAGAGACAAATGAGATTTGTCTATGTATCTAGATACATACAAATCTACTTGGATACAATATACTAGAACAAAGTACTCCTTTTTTGACTCCATGTATCCAGAAGCTGACCCACCCATAGATAAGGGGTGTGAAGCGACACCCCTTCGTTGAAAAATTACATTGTATATAGAGGTTATATATATAGATATATAAGTATTGACATCTCTTGGCACAAGTTAAAGATTTAATCTAGTGGTTAAAACATTGTGAACATTCCTTGATCAGGTTGTGTGTTCAGTAATCCTACTAGCTCCATAATTATATTTTTACTACAACTATTGACACCCTTTAATGATAATGTTGGATCACTAATTGAGACGCATCCAAATATGATAAAATACGTGACTTATAAATCGAATTTTCTAAATACATAATTCATGAAAGCATCGAGAACATATATAATTATCAAAAGAAAAGAAAAATGTAGATTTTAAAAGACAAGGCAAATCGATTATTGCGTGCATAGAATGTTGTGCAATATATTCATTCATACTCATCTTAGTAGTTGTTTTTATTGCAAATCCATGACTCAAACCACTAA